GAGAAAGAGAGAAAAGAAGAGGAGAGTGAAGAGAAAGAAGAGAGGAACGAGAAGAGAGAGAGGAGAGAGAGGAGAGGAGAGAGGGAGAGAGAAGGGGGGAGGGGAGGAAGAGGGGACAGAAGAGAAGAGCGGGGAGAAGAAAGAGAGAAGAGAGAGGAGAGAGAGCAGGAGAGAGGAAGAGGAAGGAGAAGAGAGAGAGAAGGAGCGAGGGAGAGGGAACAGAAGACAAGAGAAGGGAGAAGAAAGGGAGAGAGGAGAGAGAGCAGGAGAAAGAGAGAAAAGGAGAGTGAAGAGAGAGAAGAGAGGAAAGAGAAGAGAGAGAGGAGGGACAGAGAAGAGGGGAAGTGAGCGAGAGGAGAGAGAGAGAGAGAGAGAGAGAGAAGAAATGGAGACTCTTAAAAAACTGGAAAGAGGAGGATGCCAAAACCAAAACCCGTTTCATTCTTTTTAAAACTTTACCTGCAATGTAATAATATCTTGCCTGGAAAAGGGCTCATCGCTCAACAGATCCTTAAAGGTCTTGGTTTTTATATTCAGCTGCTCAACCGCCTTGCAAAAAAAGAAAGAAGAAAAGGAAAGGAAGAAACGGGGAATCAATGGGAGGGTTGAGTGCGGCTCACTTAGCAACCGCCTTGCTTAGCGGTTGGGAATGCTGGTTGTGAGCTGGGGAACTACCATGTATCCCCCGTGTCTCGTCAACTGTGAACATGCTCACCTCAAAACCAAAGACGTTCCCGGTGGTCTTGATGGCCACGATGTGGGAGTTATTGGTGAAGACGGTGAAAAGCACCGGGCAGTGGTATTTCCCTAAATTGAAGAAGGAAAAAGAGAGAGAAATGAACTCATTTTCCCACCTCCGGGGTGATTGGCCCAAAGTCATCCAGATAGCTTTCGTGCCTAAGGCGAGACTAGAACTCACAGCCTCCTAGTGATTGGCTCTAGGTCACCCAGTTGGGTTTCATGCCTAAGGCGGGACTAGAACTTGAAGCCTCCTAGTGATTGGCTCTAGATCACCCAGTTGGGTTTCATGCCTAAGGCGGGACTAGAACTTGCAGCCTCCTAGTGATTGGCTCTAGGTCACCCAGTTGGGTTTCATGCCTAAGGCGGGACTAGAACTTGCAGCCTCCTAGTGATTGGCTCTAGGTGTCAGCTTTGAAATTCAGCTGCCACATAATTCAAGGGGGGTGTGCGTGTGTGGAGGTGTTGAAAAGTTCAAGGTTATTCTGTATGCCGCACTAAGAAATTCCAGTTGCAGTTAATTGGTTCTTGTGATTTAGGAAGTGTAGAAGTGGGAGGAGAGAAGGTAGATTCTATGTAACACTCAAAAATACTTTCACTTTGGGAAATTGCCTTAGACATACCAGATCTGTTCCTAAATAAATCAATTGGAGAGAATATGTCTCGGAGTGATTGATATCATGGATACTTTCTGGATGCCTTACACTAGGTCACTCACTAGGAGGCTGTGATTCCCTTAACAGCGGCAGGAAAGGTTGCAAAATGGAGCAAAACCCAGTTCACAACCATCTTGCGCAATGGGATTTTTAGGTGGTCGTAAATACAGGACTATGGTATTTCCACGATTGGAAATGGGGTGATGGGCATCCCCCAACCCGGAGCCCTGATTTTATGGGGGACAAAGGACTCATTGTGACAAAAAGGCAGAAGGATCACTTGTTCCAGGCTCCCCAGGGCCTCTTTGTCATCTGCACAATCCTCCTATCCGCTTTTTCATAAATTGCGCCGACTCACCGTCGTTGTTTTTGGCAAAGTTCAGCTTGATGAGAGATTTGGCTTCCAGCTTCTGCGGAGACAAAACAGAGCCAAAATTTTTAATCCTTCATTTGGAACAACCAACGGAAGCAGAAGTTGCCTTCGGAAGTGGTGGGAGCTTCATCCCTGGAGGCTTTCAAGAAGAGACTGGACTGCCATCTGTCGGAAATGGTGTAGGGTCTCCCACTTGGGCAGAGGGTTGGACTAGATGACCTACAAGGTCCCTTCCAACTCTGTTAATCTGAATCTATCTAAGATGATCAAAGGCCTGGGGACTAAAACATACGATGAACGGTTGCAGGAACTGGGCCTGGCGAGTCTAGGGAAGAGAAGGACCAGGGGAGACAGGAGAGCAGCCTTCCAATATTTGAGGGGCTGCCCCAGAGAGGAGGAAGGGGTCACGCTATTTTCCAAAGCATTTGAAGGCCAGACAAGGAATAATGGATGGAAACTGATCAAGGAGAGATTCAACCTGGAAATAAGGAGGAATTTTCTGACAGTGAGAACAATCAACCCATGGAACAGAAGCTGCCTTCGGGAGTTGTGGGAGCTTCATCCCTGGAGGCTTTGAAGAAGAGACTGGATTGCCATTGGTCAGAAATGGTGTAGGGTCTCCTTCTTGGGCAAGGGGGGGGGGCTGGACTAGATGACCTCCAAGGTCCCTTCCAATTCTGTTAATCTGATCTAATCACTCTGAAGGATGGAAGGCTGAGTCCAACTTGAGCCGGTGAGACTCGAACTGCTGGCTGCCGGCAGTCACAGAACTGTATTCTGACCACAGAGGACATTAGAGGGGAGAATATTTACAGTACAGGTAGTCCTTGACTTACAACAGTTCATTTAGTGACCTTCGAGGTTACAACGGCGCTGGTTAAAAGTGACATAGGACCGTTTTTCACACTTGGGACCGCTGCAGCCTGCCTGTGGTCACCTGGCCAAAATTCAGGTGCTTGGCGCCTGGTTCCTATTTATGACGGTTGCAGCATCAACACTGAGAAGGAAAGTTGAAGGGGAAACCTAGATTCACGTCACACCTGTGTTAACTAACTTAATACTTGCAGTGATTCACTTAAACGCCGGGCCGTCAAAATCAGGGCAAAATTCCACCTCACCAATGCCTCGCTTAGCCGCCAAAATTTTTTGTCCTCGATTGTGGTCATAAGCCGAGGACTACTTGCAACAGGGACTTCCAACTTCCAGCATGCATGCCGGCTGGGAAATTCTGGGAGTTAGGAAGTCCGCAGGTTTTCAAGTGGTCGAGGTTTGAGAAATGCTGAACTACTGTGTTTCCCTGAAAAGAAGACACTCTTATATAGTTCTTTGCCACCAAAAAAGGCAACAGGTCTTATTTTCGGGGGATATCAACCACTGACCCATCCCACTTGCGTGTGTTGTTCCCCCACCCACCGGCCTCTTTTTCACTATCAAAGGCCTTCAGGAACTTCTTCATCCAGCAATCTATCATTATCTATCAATCAATCAATCAAATCTACCTACCTGTCTATATATGTATATCTATATATCTATCAATCTACCTATCTACCTATCATCTATCGACATCTTTCATATCTATCATATCTATCTGCCTATCTATCTGTATCTATATCTATCTCTATCTATCATCATCCTCTATCATTAATCATCTCTATCTCTATATATCTTCATATTTCTCTTTATATCTCGCTATCTATCTCTATCATCATCATCTCTATCAACCCATCATCTCTCTTTATATATCTTCATATTTCTCTTTATCTATCTCTATCATCATCTCTATCATCAATCATCTCTGTCTCTTTATATATCTTCATATTTCTTTTATCTATCTATCTGTCTGTCTGTCTATCTATCCACCCATCTTTCTATCTATCTATCTATCTATCTATCTATCTATCTATCTATCTATCTATCTATCTATCTATCTATCATCTCTATCATTATCTCTGTCATCAATCATCTCTCTTTATATATATTCATGTTTTTCTTTATATCTATCTATCTATCTATCTATCCATCCATCCATCCATCCATCCATCCATCCATCTATCCATCTTTAATTGGTCGCCATCTGGCTTAATAAGATATTTCCATCTCAAGCAGAGATAGAAAACAACAGGGACAACGCCAACCACAAGCAAAAGGACCCAACAGCAGGAAATCAACACACACACACAGAATTAACGTAAGAGAGCAAAAAGAAAGAAAGAAAGAAAGAAAATGATCAACAGCAATGATTCAGCTCAGAGCTTGTTCACAACAGCAGGGTCCCATATGGGATTGCTGTTCCATGCGGTCCTGTAACTCAGAGCCATCTGTAAAAAAAAAAAAAAAAGCACCCAATAACAACAACACACACACAAAACTGCGGGGTAATTGTGGTGGCCAAGCCATATTGGGCCCACAGCTGCTGGTCGCATTCCAGGATGCTGCAGCTGACAAACTCTGGGCAATGGCCTGGCGAGGCCTGGCTTGGAACGAGGAAGGTTGCTGATGGAAAAAAAACCCTTTTTCCAGCAGAAATTTGGTTCCTGGGATCAGCAGAAGAGAAAAGAAATGGCTTCAGAGGAATAGATTGCAGAGAATGCTCTGTGGAAGGTCAAAGGCAGCATCGTTCTGCATACACAGGTCGTTTATTTATTTTCATTTTCCTCCTTTATTATTTGTATAAGTCAGACAAGACATGAACACACCTTTCTCCTTCTATTTTCCCCACAACAACCCTGTGAGGTGGGTGGGTTGAGAGTGGGGAACTAGCCTAAAGTCCCCCAGCCGGCTTTCATACCGAAGGGGATACTAGAACTCACCATCTCCTGGGGATTGGCCAAAACTTACCCAGCCAGTTTTCACATCTAAAGTGAGACTAGAACTCACAGTCTCCTGGGGATTGGCCCAAAGTTACCTACCCT